AGCGTACTTCACCAATAGGAAGGGCGGACGAAGTTATTTGTTTAAGTGGTCAAAACCCTTGTTGGTAACTGATATATATACAAAACAATAAACAAACAACATTATTCATTCAAGAAGAGAGAAAGCTAGCAAGTATTTTCAAGAACTCAAGCATCAAAGAACGCATCAAGGGACCTGGTCCCCGAAAGTCTGCGAACGAGAAAAGGACGAAAAAATAGCTGTCAAAAGGCTGCCAACTCAGATGTGGTTGGTGCACAACCTTTCATGACAGCAGGCTTTCAGCCAATGGCCTTGTCCCAAGGGTTTGTCCATTTTGATAATAATCTATTCTCCTAACACAAACCTAAGTTTTGGCAAACAAAATTGTGAATTTCTGAAAATTCATAAGCTCAAAAAGAAAAGGCCATCTTTAAGGAAGAACATTGTTAATGCTCAACAAAGGGACCTGATGAAGTGCTTAAGCATCTTTATTGTATGTTGAGCTTTGTGTCTTATGTGCTTAAATTGTAAATCTATTCCTAAGCTATAAAGGAATTAGATCTTTGTTCAGTTCATACAAAAAGTCTAAATCAATCAGGTTGAGTGGTTTAGTGGGCAACATTGTTGTTGCTTAGTTGAATTCTAAATCATCTAAGATTTAGGTGGATTAGTGGGCAACATTGTTGTTGCTTAGTAAAAATCTAAATTGTCCAGAGGGTGGTGGTTTAGTGGGCAACATGTGTGTTGCTTAGTTGAAGTCTAAGTTATCTAAGAGGTAGGTACGTAGCTTAGTGGGCAATAATGTTATTGCTTAGTTGCTTTCTTTGTAGTAGATGTGCTACATTGAGGGGGAATGGATTTAGTGTTAAATTCCTAGGTTGCAAGAGTTTGTAATCTGAATTGTTGCTCCGTTTGAGTGAAATGGAGTTTGGGTTGAAATCCTATGAGGGCAGGTCGTGGTTTTCACTGCCCTTGAGCAAGGGGGTTTCCACGTAAAATCCTTGTGTAGATTTTACTTTCTGCATTTATTTCAGTTACTGCTTTTGTTGAGTTAAGGGACCTAGTCCGTTGACGTATAGTGGACGCATACTACTGTTTGTACTTACATTACTGTTCTTACAGTGTCAAGGGACCTGGTCCATTGACTCTTAGTGGACGCATATATCTTAACAAAAAGACAACACATTACCACAAATGTTTTTATTTTTCATGAAAGGAAAATATATTTTTCTTCCATATTTGGTTTATTCTCTCCTTAGAGGAAAAGTTTGAAAATCTATAAATTGAAGATTCTTATTCTCATAGCATATAACAAGAACATCCACAATGTAGTCAATAAAGAGTTTTGTTTATGGGGAGATTTTCCCTCAACATTTTAATATTTTCCTTTTATTAGTTTTTCATATGTAGGTTGATTGGCTAAACCATATAATAATATTATGTTTTTTAGTATAAGTTTTTGTCTGACGCTCTAAGAACTTTCGAAACCAACATCTGATTGATAAATCAGACGACAAATAAAAACATACTAATAACATATTATTAATATTGTTTGGTCAAGCGACCTACCTATTGAAAACTAATATTAAAAAAACATAAATATTGTTTCATCCTCTTTCTTTTTTTTCGGACATTTAAACTATTATTAGTATTTCGGAATTTGAATAAGTTGGAGCAAAAACAAATACTAAAATACTCCTATAAATATATATTATACTATACTTATTATTTTCACCTATTAAATAATCAAAAGGCACTACTAAAATGTTTAGTTAAAATGATATTATTATTAGGTATATATAGTAAGAAAATAGAGTGAAAAATGAACGGTCAAAATAGATCAGCCAAAGAAAAATAGAAAAAAAAAATAGGACGTCCATCATTTTTGTCAACATCAAGTCGAAGCCAACCTTCCGATCTACCTAACCCCCCCCCCCCCTCCCCCCCAACTTCTTATTTTAGCCATCCACTTTTTTCAAGTATATTAATACTCCCTTTGTTCCGTCTTTATTTATTTGTCAAATTTTAACGTGACACATCTATTAAAAAGACAATAATTGATATAGTGGTTTATATTTTTACTCCTATTAATTAATAGAATCTCAAAAATATTTACTTACTATATTTTTCAAAGACACTAACTCAGTGTTAATAAATTAAGGGTATAATTTAAAATATTGCTCTCTCTTAATTTGTCAAAAATAACAATAAAAGAAAAAAATAAATTAAAAAATATTTGATAAGTAAATAGGGACTGAGGGTGTATAAAATAGCAGTGGTATATTTTTCCTGCTTTCAATAAATCATTTTTTAAAATTTGTTTAACTAAATATTAGTCGAGTATAATAATAGATGTACATTATTCATGTACAAAATGGGTATTACTGGAATTCAAATCTAGTGACCTTAACATCTTGAAGCACACCAATGTTGTGAAACATAAATAAACACATATATACAATAATAGACTTGGAACTATTTCTTTTATTCTAATTTGTTAACACATGACACCTAACAACACTTAATATAAAGTTAGAATAATTACTGATGTTATGTTATTTGATATTGATTTTTCATCTTATGTTACTCTACACCTAGTGATGAGGAGTAATTGAGTGGATGAGAAGGTATTAAATATGAGGAATTTTCGTATATAGTGATAGTTTTGTTTTTAATTAAGAAATATTGTGATAATTTGTGTACTTATGAAATATAACATTAAAATATAGTAAAATTCTATCATGCATAAGTAAAATATAATGTATTCTTGCACAAGCGAAATATTGTATTCACACACAAGTAAAATATACTATTTTTAAGCGGAAATGAAATACATTATATTGCATCCATATTATCATTGTATTTTCACTACATGACATTTGTATTTTATGAAATATACTTATATCATTACTAGAAATCACCAAATTTCCACCAAAAATCACTTTATGTGTTATTGTATTTTATATGATACACTTGTAATTCATGCTTGAAATAAAGAAATAATGTGTACCAGATGTATTTGCTACACAAAATTCAAACTCTCGTTATTTTTTAAAAGTATATTTTAGGCAAGTATAGAAGCTATGTTTGTCGTATAGGGTAATGTTTTCATTAAATATCTCACAACGGTTAAGCGTATACTCTTATTTATAATATTGGATAATTATCACGGTTAGAGTTAATAGCATGTTTGTTCAAATTTCTTAAAAGCCAAAATTACTGTTTATTATTTAGGTGTTGGGCAAAAAAAAGGAAGAAAAATGTACTTTCGGACAATAACTATAATATTTTTTTTCCTGTTGTAGTAAAGAAGTTACAAATTTTAGAGGCGGAAATAAATTAAATATTGAAAAAAACGACACTTTTTATATTATTCGATTAAACACAAAGTAATTATCTAAAAAAATAATCTGACAAGAAAAAAAAAATCTAAAAACAAGTAATTGTTGAAAGCTTGGAAAAGAGGATAGCTCCAAATTCCAATTTGGCCATCATTTTTTAAAAAGAAAATTTGAAAACATTGTTCGTTTGTGAAATTTGCCCAATTTTTGAAATTTATCTAAAAGAAATTCAAGTTTGAAAAATTAGTCTAAATCAATTTTTGGGTGAAAGTTCACTTTCACTCTTAAAATTTTAATTTTTTTTAAAAGTAAAATATAAGAAAATTATTTGAACTTTCTTTTGATTTATATATGTATAAGGTATTAATATTATATAACAGAGATGTTCTAAAAAAACAAAAATTATAATTCTCTATTATTTTATATGGAAGTCAAAATCAAAATACTATAGTTATTAATTTATTATACTACAAATTATCAAAATCAAATTTTAAAATATTAAATTAATTTAATATAATATTTTTTTTAAAATGGACCGAACGGATAGTTGTCTACTTTTGATGTCTTTTTTCTCTCTCTAAAATTGAGGATATTGAAATGAAAACTACAAAAGACGAAAAATTAAAGTCTCACAAAAAAAAAATGCAAAATGAGATAGTTAGATTTTCCCCACCTTTGATGAAGTGGAAGACTTGGGTAAAATTTCAACAAAGCGACCCTACACTAGTATTTTATATTTATAAAATAAAGAAAAGAAGAGAATTAAATTATCGGTCAACTAACAACTGATTCCACGTCATAAGTAGACATACACATATATAGGTAAAATGTCACCTAAAACACAAAGTTTGGAGGATATAAACCAAATTAAAGCACATATTGATGCATTATGCCTAATTTTGTTGGTTAGGTAGTACTAGTATTGAATATATTTGTGTGTGTGGGGCAGCCCCTATTCGAATTCCATCCCTATGTCATAAAAACAATACTCCTTCCTTGTGTGTATATATAGTAATAATTCTGGCCAACAACATTCTCCAACTAGTTCGGGGACTTGCCATTTCTTTCTTCGTCTTCATCTTCATCTACATTCTACAGGTACATTTTCATTCTCTTGAATTTTTATCTTTTTTCCAATTTATGTTCCGATCTGGGTGACCCCTCTTGAATTCTTGATTCGGGGTTGTGTCTTTTACTTGAAAACGTTAAACGCCTTTCAATTCTTGTTTCGATGTTTCCGAGGTTCTTTTATTTGTTCTTCACTGACTTTTTCTCCCGCTTATCATATATACCTGGGATCTGCATTAACACTTGTTACAACTCTTTTCTCTTTTCATTAAAAGATCTCATCATTTTAGAGGTTCAGTTGTATTTGTTTCTCTTAAGGAAGGAAAGATCTACACAAACTTGTTTGGATTAAAGAATCAGCTTTCTTGTTCGTTATTGTTCCTTGTCATCTTATTTGTTTTGGAATGTTGCTGCTTCAATAATATACTTCATTTACCATTTTGTTTTTGAGCTAACTAATTTGTATACCATTTCGCGTATCACTACTTGGATACACATTGCCACTAGAATAGCTGTATGATGAAATGATTCAATAATTATCTATTGATGTATTGTTTTGGCCTTCTGTCTGTGCAAGAAATTATCTGTTTATGGATGGTGTTGATGTTGGAATTTTGCAGTGATCTTAATTGACTTGGCAAAATGGCTACTGGACAACTTTTCTCCAAGACTACACAAGCGTTGTTCTACAACTACAAGCAGCTTCCTATTCAGCGCATGCTTGATTTTGATTTCCTTTGTGGTTCGTACTATGCCTCTGGTTCTCGATTTATTTACAGGCAGATATGCACACAATGATCTTGTTATTTTCAATGTGTAGGTTAGTCTTAATTTTATAATTTTCAATTTTTCAGGGAGGGAAACACCATCTGTTGCTGGAATTATTAATCCTGGTTCTGAGGGATTCCAGAAACTTTTCTTTGGTCAGGAGGAAATTGCAATCCCAGTACACTCAACGTGCGTCCTTCTTTTTGTTTTTTTTTCAACCATTGGTTATATTCCCATTTTATTATGATTTGGATCTCTAAAGGATGTCCATTGGTAATCTTTCTCAGCGTGGTCTTCTTTTTTGTTGGTCCCTTCAAGTATGCAATTTGCTTTTGTGTGGCTTATATTTAGCTCTCTGCTTCCAGTGTTAGCAATTGAGTTCCCTGGTTATGTGATGGATCATGTGCTAACTTTTAACTTAATGGTTCGTAATTAAGTCACTTAGCAACAAATGTGCTGTTAAATTTTCTTAGTTTGAATTACTTCAGTTAGTAAAAGATATAGAAAAATGTGTTGTCACATTTCCACAGCTTGAATTACTTCAGTGAGTAAAAATGCCCTAGTTCTGAAACTTTCTACAACCATCAGATATATCATAATCCTGGCAGATATATTTGATCTATGTTGTCTTCACATACCTTTGTACTACTGGTTTCTATTTGGTTAATTTGGTGTCTTATCACTTACACTGATTATATTCTACATTTTACTTGTTCAGCATTGAAGCCGCCTGTGCTGCACATCCCACGGCTGATGTTTTCATTAACTTTGCATCTTTCAGAAGGTTGGTGCTCGCCACTGTTGTTGTTGTGCTTTCTTCCTTGAATTGTCCTTTTTCTCGAAGTGAAAACCTGAAGCTGCAAAAGATTTGCTATTGTATCTCTTCTTTACTGTCTTATTCATTTGCAGTGCCGCTGCTTCCTCCATGTCGGCTCTTAAACAGCCAACCATCAAAGTTGCAGCTATTATAGCTGAAGGTGTTCCCGAGTCAGATGCTAAAGAGCTGATTGCTTATGCAAAGGCAAACAATAAGGTAATATTATGTCATACCAATCAGGTTTATGCCTTTACATTCATTATCATTTTATTGGGGGTGGGGTAAGATTTTGAATGATAATGTATAATCAACTTATAGGATAATCTTATGGATAATAAACTGAAGAAATTATCAATTACTTCTCTCACATTTTATGGTTGCCTCTCCTGGTGTCAATGAATCCCCCTTTCCCCTGTCCGCAGATTTTATCTTTTCTTTAAGATATAATAAAGAAATGGTAGAATAAGCTCTTAACAGATCATCAAGTGGAGCATTTTGGGTGTCAATAACTACCTCACTCTAGTTTTCTGCCTTTATTAATTTCCAAATTTTATGGTGTATAATATGGTGATCTTCCTCAGGTGGTTATTGGTCCAGCTACTGTTGGAGGTATTCAAGCTGGTGCATTTAAGATTGGTGATACTGCTGGAACTATTGATAACATTATTCAGTGCAAACTTTACCGACCTGGATCTGTGGGATTTGTCTCAAAATCTGTGAGTGATTTTTAGAGCCGGTTTCGTCTTGTTATTTTAATAAATATTAGAGAAATAATATCTAATCAATTACACCTGCAACATTTTGTCCCCCCTACTTTCTATTTTACTATCTCCTGGACTGCAATTAAGATAAGAAAATACTTGTGAGACACTTCGACCTACTCTAAAACTACTTTCAGAAACGTATCTTCACCTAAATTTAATGTATGTAACCATTCAAACATCCCTTTTACCATACTTTAATGCATGAAACCATGACCTCACTCTAATATATGAAGCTGAATAGTTTGAAAATAACATTTTCAGGTTTCAAGTATAATAACTTTTCTTTTGATGTACAGGGTGGTATGTCTAATGAATTATACAATTCAATTGCTCGTGTCACTGATGGAATTTATGAAGGTTGGGCATTCAGAATTCTGAATCCATTCTATTGGAGCATGTTTATGTTGTTTTTATTGAGAAATAGAATATGAGTGAATTTTGGTATATGCAGGAATTGCAATCGGTGGAGATGTTTTCCCTGGCTCTACCCTTTCTGATCACGTTTTGCGCTTCAACAATATCCCACAGGTAATTCATTCGTATAGGCTACATTCTCCTATTAATATCACCAAGTTATCCTCAGGCCCTCGGTTTTGTTACTTTTAGGATCCTGATTATTTTTAGTTTAAATTCTAATCCCCCATTTAACATGCCTAGAAAGAAGCCACTTTTTAGCTTTATGATCAAATAGCTAACATTCCAACCAACTGGCAAAAGTTTTTCCCATTCCACACACACACTGCGACTTTGTTGACTTTCTTCCTAATGTTCACCATTAGTATTTATGATTTAAGATTGATGTAATTCCACTGTTTTGATATAACTAGAAGCTCAATGGTGCATAAACAACTGATGTTTTGATATCTTGATGTATTTCCTGCTTCCGTCACTACTTTTTCAATTACTAGTTCTTCACTTCTTTTTTATCATGCTTTTGATATACTTAGGTTAAAATGGTGGTTGTTCTCGGGGAACTTGGTGGACGAGATGAATATTCCTTGGTTGAAGCCTTGAAGCAGGGAAAAATCAACAAGCCTGTTGTTGCCTGGGTTAGTGGAACTTGTGCTACGCTCTTCAAGTCAGAAGTACAATTTGGTCATGCGGTGAGTTCTATTTCCCTTGATCTCCGCATTTCCTAGAAACATGTTGCTTGTAGTCTCTCGCGAAGATTGAGAGATGTTTTGACGGAACTGCTTGTCGCCCCGTTCTCTTTTCTTCTTTTTAGAATAGGCTGGACAGTATAGTCTTTGCACATAAGTTTAACTTTGCATGGTCTTTGTCAAATAGGGGGCAAAGAGTGGTGGCGAAATGGAGTCTGCACAAGCAAAGAATCAAGCACTCAGAGACGCTGGAGCTATAGTTCCAACCTCGTATGAAGCTTTTGAAGGAGCAATCAAAGATGCATTTGAAAAGCTAGTGAGTCTCTTGATATTCAGCAGAGATTGTTTTTTTATGCCTTTTACTCTGCTTTTAGTTCTGACACCACTCCGTATTTGTTTTGGCAGGTTGAAGCAGGAAAGACTACTCCTGTAAAGGAAATTACACCTCCTCAAATACCTGAGGATCTTAGCACGGCAATTGAGAGTGGAAAAGTTCGGGCCCCAACTCATATCATTTCCACAATATCTGACGATAGAGGTATAGTTGGATTTGCGTATTTCCTATCTATGTTTTTTTTTTACCCTACTTCCAGAGGATCAATAGTGCTCCCACTTAACCTCCTGTGTGACTCGAACCCTCAACCTACCGGTCGATGGTGAAGGTGCTCAAGTCTCAACCACTTGTGCAAGCCTCACTTGTCTCCTATCAATGTTTAATGTTTTTTCTGGTGGTTAAATAAGAATCGGAAATGATGCTGATTGTGTCTACAATTTCAATTTATGTTCACAGGTGAAGAGCCTTGCTATGCTGGCGTACCCATGTCATCCATTGTGGAGCAGGGACTTGGTGTTGGTGATGTAATATCTCTCTTGTGGTTCAAACGTAGCCTACCACGTTATTGCACACGTTTTATTGAGGTATAGTTCTTACGGTTGCAACTCTATCACTCTTTCAATAGGTTATAAACTCTTATTTTTAACCATCAGTCTCTGCCAACGGCAATTATTCTGTTTATAAACCTCTTAATTTACTTTGTCATGGTTAATTCATGGCAGATTTGCGTCATGTTATGTGCTGATCATGGTCCTTGTGTCTCTGGTGCACACAATTCCATTGTAACTGCCAGGGCTGGAAAAGATTTGGTTTCCTGCCTTGTTTCTGGTACGTTACAGTCTGCGGGTTTCTAGATGTTCATTTAGTTTTCAATCAAAACTGGACTAATGTGTCTCTTAATAGGATTGCTGACTATTGGTCCGCGTTTTGGTGGTGCTATTGATGATGCTGCCCGGTACTTCAAGGATGCTTATGACAAGGTAAGGCTTATGATTTATGAGCATTCCCTAGGCACTCATCGGTCTAGAAGCAGTTTCTGCTGGTTTCTTTTGAGTCCAGATGAATAAAATATTTTCAAATGTTTTGTGTTTGCAGGGTCTTACTCCATATGAGTTTGTGGAAAGTATGAAGAAGAAGGGCATTCGAGTTCCAGGAATTGGCCACAGGTAGCATATATTGTAGCTTCTTGATTATATCCTAGAATTGTAGAATTAAAAGATGTACTTGGAATTCTTTTGAACTTGTAGGGTTAGCATGCTTCTACACTTAATTTGACTTTCCACATCTACTTCTTGTGTAACAGGATTAAGAGAGGTGACAACAGAGATAAGAGAGTGGAACTACTGCAGCGTTATGCTAGGGAAAATTTCCCTTCTGTTAAGTACATGGAATATGCTGTTCAGGTTGAAACTTACACACTGTCAAAGGCAAACAACCTAGTCCTCAACGTTGATGGTGCCATCGGATCCCTCTTCTTGGATCTCCTTGCGGGCAGTGGAATGTTCACCAAGCCAGAAATTGATGAAATAGTGGAGATTGGTTACCTCAATGGACTTTTCGTGCTGGCTCGTTCAATTGGGCTTATAGGGTGAGATGCATGATGGTGCTTAATCACCATTTTAGATTCACCGTCAGTAATTCTTGTTTATGATAGCTAGATTCTAATTCATTAATGATTGACGTGTACCTTTTGAAATGTCAGGCACACATTTGACCAGAAGAGATTGAAGCAGCCATTGTACCGTCACCCATGGGAAGATGTCCTCTACACAAAGTGAAGAGTCTCCCCATAACAACAGGCAGAAAGTTGCCTTCTCCCAATCTATAGTTTTCATTCAAACCATTAAGTTAGCCATTTGTTGTGTGTGAGCGTTTTGTTCATGTGTTAAGAATTATTCAAGCATGTATAAGGAGACGACTCATTTTTCTTTTCTTTTCTTTTTTTGCAAAAACAACACAAATCTCACTAGTTTAGAACCTAATTATATGCATTCTTGTGAGTTTTTGATATTATCTTTCGTACCAAATTTTGATATCTTGATACATGTCTCTGGGGCATCCAAAGATACATGAGGTCAAAATTAAGGTGTGATTTGTTCCACACACACTATATCCAAGTGGATTCTCATGTAGTTGCGTTGCATAAACTGACTCTCTCTCATTTGCATCTCTCTCTCTATGTATCATGTATTTTAGAATGTATCTAGTATTCCGGATACATGTATCTAGGATACACTGACTCTCTCACTCCTCTTCCTCCTATCTCGCTCGGCTCTCTTCCTATGTATCTGTATTTCATAGTGTATCTAATAGCAAAATACATATATCTAGGTGTATTTGATTTGAAATCTGGTATGAAATTATTAATTAACAAGGCAATATGCAATTATTTCAAACCACAAGGAGAATTAATAAATATGATAGGAATATTTGTATAATTAAGTAATTTTTCTTTCTTTTTTCCCATCTGACGTGAGACTCTTCAAGGTTTGAATGCAATATTTAGTTTCTATGGTAAAGCAGCCATAGATGGGTGTATTTGTAAGCTCCATCTTCTTTTATTGAAGGCTCATGGCTAACACACCCATGTTGGGTGTTGTTTCATTTGAATAATTGGACAAAGGGAGGAATTGGTTGTGTGTCAATAATAGTACTGCCCTTCACGTGGGAGGGGCAATGTGATATGAAAGGGAATACTCATCACTTTGCTTTGCCCCCACCATTTCCATTATATCATCTTTTTATCTTCTCCTTTTTGCCTTTCTTTCTTATAGATTCAACAAAATAAAATTTACTGCTCCTTTTTATTACAACTTCTTTCAAGGAATCCAAACATATTTATTTCTTAAAATGGTCATTCTAATATTCAACCCATGTGGCCAACTCCAAAAACATGAATTCTCAACCACATAAAACACCCTGCTTTTATTGACAACATACTCCCATTTCACTATATCCACATATGTTTCCATATCTTAATATTAATTAAAAAAAAGACCAATTATTAACAAATTTTATTTTTTACAACAGAAAAGTAAAGGTTCACTCACAATTAAAGCATTCAAACAAAAAATAGACCCCCCCCCCCCCCCTCTCCCCTTCTTTTTTGTTTGTTCCCCCTTCATTTCTGATCAAACAAACAACAAACATACATTTCTTTTTTGCTTCTGTAGCATATTCCCTCAAATTTCTTGGAAATCTTTCAAGAAACTTTTAGTAGGCATCTGCCCATATATTCCAATTTTTTTTATTTTATATGAACTTTATGAAATTGAACTTGTGTTTAGTATACTTTTGTAAAAGCTACCACGGCAAATAAAGACATAATACATAAACATTATCTTAACTTGGCTTTAACGGTCCTCCAATTTTGAGTGTGCACAAGTAGGAACGCCACGTAAGACACAAAACAGCCACATATGGTGCCATGTAGGATGAATGTGTCTATTTATTCAATTTTATACAAGTTTAAATACCTATTTATGCACATTCAAAGTTAAAGATCATAATTGCCCGCTAACACTAAGTTAAGGATCATGTTTATGTATTACTCTTACGCAAAGTAAAAGTGTAGGTAGTTAATCAACTTACCGAGCTACTAATATTTTTGGAGTATAGGCAGTTTCTTAAATTTGAGAGTAAAACAGTATTTCAGAGAAAAAAAAACAAAAAATACTGTTGGACAAACAGGTCCACCATATTGCTTCAATTACTGCAACTAGTATAAAATTTGTGACAACCCCATTTCTGTATTCAACCAAAAATTCAATCTTTTTTGAGTTTCCCAAAAGTCAGTTTTTTTTCCCTCAACTGAATTTGTTTTAGGGTTTTAAAATTGACAAGTTTTTCCATGTAATAGCAAGAAAAATTTGTGTGGAGGAGAGAGAAATGGCTTCTGGAAGTAGAACAAAGCATTCCCATCATAGTTCATCTCAAGCTCAATCTTCAGGTACAAGTAATGTAAATTACAAAGATTCAATAAGCAAAGCTATAGCACAGTACACAGCTGATGCTAGGCTTCATGCTGTGTTTGAACAATCTGGTGAGTCTGGAAAGTTTTTTGATTATTCACAGTCTGTTAAAACTACTACACAATCTGTGCCTGAAAGGCAAATTACTGCTTATTTGACTAAAATTCAAAGAGGAGGTCATATTCAGCCTTTTGGTTGTATGATAGCTGTAGATGAGGCTAGTTTTCGTGTAATAGCTTATAGTGAAAATGCCTGTGAAATGCTTAGTTTAACTCCACAATCTGTTCCAAGCCTTGAGAAGTGTGAGATCCTCACTATTGGAACTGATGTTAGGACCCTTTTTACCCCTTCTAGCTCTGTTTTGCTAGAAAGAGCATTTGGGGCACGTGAGATCACTTTACTCAACCCAATTTGGATACATTCCAAGAATTCTGGAAAGCCCTTTTATGCAATTTTGCACAGGGTTGATGTTGGTATTGTCATTGATTTGGAGCCTGCTAGAACTGAGGACCCTGCTTTATCTATTGCTGGAGCAGTGCAATCACAGAAACTTGCAGTGAGGGCTATTTCTCATTTGCAATCACTTCCTGGTGGGGACATTAAGCTTTTGTGTGATACTGTTGTTGAGAGTGTCAGGGAGTTAACCGGGTATGACCGGGTTATGGTATATAAATTTCATGAGGATGAGCATGGAGAGGTAGTGGCTGAGAGTAAAAGATCAGATTTAGAGCCCTATATCGGTTTGCATTATCCTGCTACTGATATTCCTCAAGCTTCACGGTTTTTGTTTAAGCAGAACAGGGTGAGAATGATTGTGGACTGCCATGCTACCCCTGTGCGGGTTACTCAGGATGAATCACTGATGCAGCCTTTATGTCTAGTTGGTTCCACACTTAGAGCACCTCATGGTTGCCACGCACAGTACATGGCAAATATGGGGTCTATTGCCTCATTAACACTGGCAGTTATTATCAACGGAAATGATGAGGAAGCTGTGGGTGGCGGTCGAAATTCAATGAGGCTATGGGGCTTGGTTGTTGGACACCACACTTCTGTTCGGTCCATTCCTTTCCCTCTTAGGTATGCATGTGAATTCCTTATGCAGGCCTTTGGACTCCAATTGAACATGGAGTTGCAATTGGCGTCACAGTTGTCTGAGAAACATGTTTTAAGGACACAAACACTGTTATGTGACATGCTCCTTCGAGACTCTCCACCGGGGATTGTTACCCAAAGCCCCAGTATTATGGACCTTGTGAAGTGCGATGGTGCTGCTCTATACTACCAGGGGAAGTACTATCCATTAGGCGTCACACCAACTGAAGCTCAGATAGAGGACATTGTGGAGTGGTTATTGGCTTACCATGGAGACTCAACAGGTTTAAGTACTGACAGTTTGGCTGATGCTGGGTATCCTGGAGCAGCTTCACTTGGTGATGCAGTTTGTGGTATGGCTGTCGCTTATATAACTTCTAAAGATTTCTTGTTTTGGTTTCGCTCCCACACAGCGAAAGAAATAAAGTGGGGTGGTGCAAAGCATCATCCTGAAGACAAGGATGACGGACAGAGAATGCATCCACGTTCTTCCTTCAAGGCATTTCTGGAAGTTGTTAAAAGTCGGAGCTCACCATGGGAAAATGCCGAAATGGATGCAATCCACTCTTTGCAGCTAATTCTGCGAGATTCATTTAAGGATGCTGAGGCAAGTAATTCTAAGGCTATTGTGCATGCTCATCTTGGGGAAATGGAGTTGCAAGGGATAGATGAACTGAGTTCTGTTGCCAGAGAAATGGTTAGATTGATCGAAACTGCAACGGCTCCCATATTTGCTGTTGATGTCGAAGGTCACATAAATGGGTGGAATGCAAAGGTCGCTGAATTGACAGGTTTATCAGTTGAAGAAGCAATGGGGAAGTCCTTGGTTCATGATCTTGTGTACAAAGAATCACAGGAGACTGCTGAGAAGCTTCTGTACAATGCTCTAAGAGGTTATACCTGTCTATTTATTTTCTTCATTTCCAAATGATAGCACAGTTTTTAAGTTGTATAGTTTCTTTGCTCTGCATGAGTGGTATAATTTTATTTTTTCTCTTCTTTGTGTTCAAAAGCTGAATGTGAAGTAATCATGGGCTTCTAGTGATTTTCTTTACTCTGAATCCTCAAAACTTGAAAAAACTGTTGGTCCACTTCATCTTGTTGAATTTGTCAACTGAAGCATGCAGTCTTGCTTTGTGTGTGTGGGTAGAGGGATAGGACATGGTGTGCGACTAAATGGAGAGGTATTATGCACAAAACCAAGTCAATCAATCAACACACCTCAATTCCAAACTAGTTGGGTCGTCTATATGAATCCTTCATATCCATTCCACTCTACTTTGTGCCATTTGATAGACGTTTATTTTGATTCTTGCTTTTCTTTGGTAGAAGTTGTGTAGAACAAGTTCACTTTAAAAAGAATGTTCCCTAGGCATAATCTGACATTTGGGTGCATTCAAGTTGCAAACTTTTACTGCAAAACAATTAGTACATAGTTGTGGTTGTGAGGACTGACTTGCTGATAGCATTCAGGATCACTTGTTCACCTTCGGCAATCTGACAAGAGTATCACCAAGCTGTTAGCTTCTTTCTTGCCTAACCAAAACCATCTCTTGTACAGTACAGATTTAGGTTTGTTCCTGATTGTAGGGAACCTGCTCTCTGTATTGTGTGCGTATGTTGACTCTTGCATAGTTTGTAATTGAAATAATTGGCATCAACTCCGCTTCTTTTCTACTCAACTCCTGCAACAGACAACCAAAGAGAGAAATAAACTAATATTGTTGCCATACTACTGCAGGCGAGGAAGATAAAAATGTAGAAATAAAGTTGAGGACATTTGGCGCTGAACAACTGGAGAAAGCTGTTTTTGTGGTGGTTAATGCTTGCGCTAGCAAAGATTACACAAACAACATTGTTGGTGTTTGCTTTGTTGGGCAGGATGTTACTGGGGAAAAAGTTGTTATGGACAAGTTTATTAATATCCAAGGTGATTACAAGGCCATTGTGCACAGCCCCAATCCTCTGATCCCTCCAATATTTGCATCAGATGAGAACACTTGTTGCTCCGAGTGGAACACTGCCATGGAAAAACTCACTGGTTGGTCTAGAGGGGAGATTGTTGGAAAAATGTTAGTTGGTGAGATTTTTGGAAGTTGTTGTCGGCTCAAGGGCCCAGATGCCATGACAAAGTTCATGATCGTGTTGCATAATGCAATTGGAGGCCAGGATACAGACAAGTTTACATTTTCCTTTTTTGACCGAAATGGGAAATATGTGCAAGCTCTTTTGACTGCAAACAAGAGAGTCAATATGGAGGGCGATACTATTGGGGCTTTCTGTTTCATACAGATAGCCAGTCCCGAACTGCAGCAAGCTCTTAGAGTTCAAAGGCAACAAGAAAAGAAGTGTTATTCTCAGATGAAAGAGCTGGCATACATTTGTCAGGAAATAAAAAGTCCTCTTAATGGTATACGCTTTACAAATTCATTGTTGGAGGCCACAAATTTGACAGAAAATCAGAAGCAGTATCTAGAGACAAGTGCTGCTTGTGAGAGGCAGATGTCTAAGATCATTAGGGATGTTGATCTGGAAAACATTGAGGACGGGTAAGCCTTTCTTATTCGATTAGGCTTGCTAATAAGTTCTCTCAAAACCAATGATGCTCGGATCCTCCAAAAAATGGCGCTGGGTGCATGTTAGATCCTCCAAAATTATGCATTTTTGGAGGTACTGACATGGTGCAGCAACATTTTTGGAAGTCCACCAATATAGTTTAAACTAATATTTTCTCCATTTCATGGGCACATAGTTTAAGAAAGAAAGATTTTTTTAAAACTTATGGACATGTGACCTTATACATAATGTACCATTTATGTGGCTCTAAAAGCATGTCATTAAGGATAGAGTGGGAACTTTAAAGTTAAAACTGTTTCCAAAATATAAAAAGTTCCATTCTTTCGGGAAACTGACTAAAAAAGAGTGTCACATGAAGTGGAATAGAGGGAGTAGCTATTTATCCATGATATAATATCTTCTAGTGTAACTTTGGAGTCAACAACATACCCACTGTAACCCTCGAGTGGGGTATGGAGAGGGTAGTGTTTACGCAGACCTTACCCATACCTTAAAAAGGTAGAGAGATTGGTTTCGCTAGACATCGACTAAAAACAGTAAATGTAACTCTGGAGTCAAAAGTAATAAACATGGTAGTTTCTTTTAAAAGAACAATAGCCTGCAATTGATATTATAGCAATGTTGTCAAAGGCACGCTTAAGCCCTGAAGCGAGGCTCAAAATGTGTTGAGCGCTTCGCCTAGCTTAATGTGTGCTTCAGTGTCGTCATCAAGGTTCTAAGGCATACTTTTCCTTGCCAATTAGCCTCTTAACACTAAAGAATGATATTTCAATTTATATAAAAAGAAATTCAATTTCTTTGTTCATATATGTCATTCATTCTTATAATTATTAGTCTTGGACTAAATATATACATATATCTTTATTTTTTTTTTCGTTTGCATTTTTTTTTCTCATTAAAGGCCACACTTTATTTGTGCTTTGTGGTTAAAATCCCAATGGACCTTAGAGTTTATTTGCGCTTTTTGCTTTTGGCAACACTGCATTATAGTATTTGAAATTAACTATTTGGGATTTCTTTCTTCTTTTTTATAGTGTTGTTCTGTAGGTTGCTGGAGGGGATTATGGGTGTGTATTTCAATTCTATGTAGTATTAGCAACCTTTTTCCTTTCAGAATTTGACTGACCTTTGATCTTCTAACAGTTCACTGACCCTTGAGAAAGAAGATTTTTTTCTTGGGAGTGTAATAGATGCTGTTGTTAGCCAAGTGATGCTATTGCTGAGGGAAAAAGGCGTGCAGTTAATCCGTGATATACCAGAGGAAATTAAGACATTAACAGTACATGGTGATCAAGTGAGAATTCAACAGGTCTTGGCAGATTTCTTGTTGAACATGGTACGGTATGCACCATCACCTGATGGGTGGGTAGAAATCCAACTTCGACCAAGTATGATGCCAATATCTGATGGAGTAACTGTTGTGCATATTGAACTCAGGTGCATTCTTTAATCTTCTCTCCTGCAACTACAGGCAGATGCCTTAAATTAATAGATAACTCCCGCCTTTATCATGCAACCTTGATTCTTTAAATGGTTCTTGAAGAAGTCTTCGGTCCTCATTTGAATGCCATCTGCTGCTTACTTGAGTCATTTATTTCAGGGTTGTTTTCTGTAGTCTACTTTCTGATTGCTCCAACAGGCATGTCAGAATATGAGATTTTTGATCCAATGAATATTGATGTAATGTTAGGAGGAGTAAAGGAAATTTCATGTATGTTTAGACCTACTATAAGCCTATAAGATACGAACTTAAGTGAAAGGTGCCTTTTAGACTTGTACCACTTCTCTTTGGCATAGCTTTTACCCTGCCTTCTCTTTTCATACCTCATCTCCTATCCATATTTATCATTTCCCTTCTTCTATCGCCTTCCATTGACTCATCAGTGGCAGCTTCAACCTATAAAGTGAAAGTTTATACAGTTTTCTGCTAAAAAATTTTCCTTTATTTTCTGTATGTGCCACCTGGTAGCTTACCTTTTAGTCTAGTTCTGTGCTGTACATATATAACCTATCTATCTGCTTAGCCTTTAAAACATTCTGTTTCGTCAATGCTCTTCATCTTTTTTTCTCAAGCTCACTCCATTTTTGCTGTAAAGGAGGTTAACTCATGCTTCCGTTCTAAGTTGTATAAGCTGACGGCTGACCTAGCTCAAGCAAGAACTAATACTGCAATTAGTTGAGAGCTGGATAAGATAAAGATCCCGAGATGTGAATTTTGACTTTGGTAAAATGATCAAGGCAGTACTTTTACCGTCTCAAAAAAAAAATGATCAGGGCAGCATCTCTTTTGTTTGTTGAGCTCTTTTAACTCGACTTTACCATTGCTCGTCTTTCATCTTTCCGCTTTTATTTTCCTGTGTTTGGAGTAGGAAAAAACATACTCTCCACCTCAAACTTGCATTTCATCTATAAAGTTTCTCTTCCAGTTTTGAACTGAAACAGCAGAAGTATAAGCTTGTAATGAACTGAATAAATACAACTGCTTATAGAAGAGCGTTGATGGACTTCATTACTAAGATACTATAATCTCAAGCCAGCGACAGGAATTAGTAGAAGCATAGCCTTAATCTTTTAGTTTTGTAAATTTAATCTTATACACCGTATCATGGTGCTTGAATGTTGTACTTAATAACTGCCAAGCATTTTTCATTGGAGACATAAACGTATCCCCAAACAAATACTTCTGCAGGTTTTGGTGTTTACTAGCATCCTAGATCTCACTTTATTAGCTTTCCTAGAGGTTGAGTTATTCTAAAATATTCATCTTGATAGTGTTTGAATAGCATCCTAGGTTGCACTTTGCTTTTCAAATCAACTCTTTCCTTGTATTAGAAAATTGAGTTCTAGGGGTTAAGTTTCAGCAGTTGCACACTTTTTGGTGTGCTATACTACCTTAACCATTAAATAATCTCTTTTTTTCTTTTGGCATAGGATTATATGCCCCGGCGAAGGGCTTCCTCCTGAATTGGTTCAAGACATGTTCCACAGCAGTCGGTGGGTAACTCAGGAAGGCCTAGGACTGAGCATGTGCAGAAAAATGTTAAAGCTTATGAATGGAGAAATCCAGTATATCAGAGAATCAGAAAGATGCTATTTCCTGATTATCCTTGACCTGCCAATGACCCGCAAAGGTCCAAAGAGTGTTGGCTAGGAGCTTACAGCACACAGTAAGAGAAGAACCTGTAATATCTCTTAAAATTGCATGCTGGTGAAATTCTGGTAATGCCTCTGATCCTTTAATGGAACTTGACACAGGAGAGAGCAAGTATGGGGGATTGATCGGCATCATTCTAACGCTATTAAATGAGCTGTTTCCTACATTGTTGCGACTTGTATTTGCCAGCGTCTTTTATAACTCTGAACTGGTATTCTCTCAGCATGTGCAAGTTGAGAAAGCTGTTGCTCCTTCGTGTATGTTTTTACCAAAGATTAATTCTTGACATAGTAAGTGGCTAATGGCCAAATAATTGGAAAATGGTTAGCATGATTCCAAATTACTTGATCCCAGAGCTGTTGTGTGTAGCATAACAAGTGTATTGTTGTATAATACTAGTATGTATTAAAAGGTGGAATAAATGTCATCCTTTCCATGGTCTGGATGAGTTGGTGTCTCCCACTCTTTGTAACATTAGGATTTGTGTAACATGAACATACTGAGAATCTTAAATGACTAATTAGCTCCTCTTGGTGGCTGATCTTCCTATTTTTGGAAATAATTTTATGGAATTTGGACTGTTCTTGCTGAACATATTGTGTGTACGAGTGACTAGCTTTAAATTTTGAATTTGCCTCGAGCTACTTTTATACTTAGCATGCATGTAACTGAACAATTCTTAGTTTTACATTTAAATTTGCCTCCACTTTTACACTTGGCTCATAAGGTTGAGACATTAATGCATCCAGATCAAATTCATGTAGACCTAGCGAACAATGCGCACCATGGAAAAATATGATCAATATAGACGGTTCTATCCCTGTTTACTTGTCCATTTTATACTTTACACACCTATTATGAAAATGAGTTTACCACTTATTCCAATTAATTAATAGAATTTTAAAATCCAGAGGTTCTACTTTTTTCAAAAACATTAACTTTTTAAATAAATTGAGGGTATAATATGTTTAAAAAAAAGGAAAAAGGGACAAATATACCCCCGAATTATCGTTAATGGTATATAAATACCCTCCGTCATACTTTCCGTTCATTAGTGCCCCTGCCGTCCAAAAATCAGTGCACATTTACCCCTCACACTAACAGAAGAATTATTTGGTACACGTGGCACAATCCCACGACTCAACCCGATTTGACCAATTATTTAACCCAAAATTTGAATACCCGCCCATTACCCAAAAAAAAAACACAACTCTTTCACATTCTTTTAGATTTATGTAGCATGATAAAAACACAAAAAAACTTCTTGTGGTAGAGAATGTAGCTGCATTTTGATAATTCACCTACCCAACCTAAACTTGCTACAATTGAGACTTTATAGTCGTCATTGCTTTGACTCCAACACAACAATTGTAGGAGCTATTTCACCTATGATCAAAGATTTCCTTTTAATTATTTCTCTTTTCATGTTCGGTTCCAATTAATTAAAAGATAATTTTGTTTATTTTATTTTTGGGCTCGAATTCAACTAAGTAAGACTTATCATTCCACTAGGTCAATTAACATATGATTTCAAGTATATACATATGTTCCTTTCCAATATTGTGTTTGCTAGGTGACGTTTTGGCATATTCCATGTTTTAGGTTTTGTATAGAAATAATAATTAAAAAAATAGTTAGTACTCCATTTAAATTTAAACTCATAATATAAATGAAAAACTTCTTATTCTCGTGTGTATAATTAAATAAATATTGTATTTATATAATGAAAGAGTCAACTTGGCATAATGATTTAAAATAATATTTAGTTGAATTATATATGCAACTAAGGCAAGTGTGTGAGATGATAAGGTGATTAAGCTGCAACACCTACCCTTGACAACTATATTATCCAAATACATAAGGTCCATAAAATCAGAGTTTTAATAGAAAACTTATAATATAATGTTAAATGAACCATTGTTCACCTCACGCCTTAACATAAATAAATACATTGACATTAGCTGCACTTGTTGATAACCTCAGAATCCAACTAGCTCAATAAACCTTTAAAAAAATTAGTTGATTATGTGTTTATATTTGATGTCACATTATTTGGATAATGGTGAATGAATGAGAGAAATAGGGAAGATAAAGATGTTTTATTATATAGTTTTCCCTATTTGTAAGATGGAAATTTTTTTAATGGCACTATTTGATAGTAACCCGCTTGACCGCCAACATGGGTTGTGGGACCTGTAATGCACGATTCAGATTTAGTCGGGGATTCAGTGTGGGCTTTGGAAAATAGATGGAAAACCAAAGAAAAAAAAACAGCTTGGCCATGTATGTACTTTTTCTTGATTGTTTTTACTTTATTTGAAAATTAATATTTAATTATAAATTGTATTTGAAATTTGGAAAATATCAAAATTCTGTTTTCCTTACCTTTTTTTCTTCAATTTTTATTCTAATTTTTTTATTATAAAAATGATTTATTTAAATTATATTTCATGTTTAAATAGTATTTTATGTTTTTTTTTTTTAGATAAGTACTTTCAAACAACAATTATTATTTGCAAAAACTACAATAAAAAACAAATCCATCTTTGACTCCAATTTTCAAAATTTTAAATAAGGGATCACTTGGTCATGTGAGATGAAATCAAATGAGATGAAGTTGAAGTTGAAGTTGAAGTTTTGTTTGGACATGCAATTTAAATTTTTGAGTTGCATTGTTTTGCTTATAATTATAAAACTCTGTAAATTGTGAAAACTATCAAAATTACCCCAATTTTTAATACAATCTTGCCGATAAGTAAAAGTTCATAACAAAAGTATAATACACTATCACAATGTTATTCTAAAAGACTATAATATTTATCGATCAAACTTTAGTTCAATAAAAAGATAAAATTGAACAAAAGTTGTAGTGTATTACTCTTTAATAAAATTGAATATGGTCAATATCATTAGTAATCTATATCATTTTTTTCATATTTCATGAATATTTCATCACTCCTTTGGTTTTCTCGCAAAAAAATATGTAAATATAAAATAGTGAATTTTTTTTATAAAATATAAACTTGTGGGTAAATATTTATATTTGAAAAATGTGAAATCATGATATGAAATTTCCAAATCAAACTTTTTAGGGAATTTGGAATTTCATCTCATGATTTGAAATTATGAGGTGAAATCGTATTTTCAAACACTAGTTCATCACATGATTTCAAATCACGAGATGAAATTGCATGTCCAAATGCCTACTAAACTAAAAATAATATTTATGTATTGTTGTTTGTAATAAATTTTAAACATATGAAAAATAAATCACCCACAAGCAAAATATGAAGAAATAATAATATTTTATTGATAAAACAATATGGGTATAAATCTGTTTGTTCCCTTCATTCTTTTCTCATAAGACATTATTTGAGGATTGTTAGTGGTGTATTTCTCGAATTAGGATGATTTGAATTTGATATCTTTATGAATATTCTATGAATTTGCGAAATATTCGAGATGCCTCTTTAAGGAATATAATACCCTTTATATAGGCATTAACTAGGGTCACGGTTGAATAGGCTCCAAGAATCCTAATTGAAATTGAACACACCTTGTAGAGTCTCAACTCGAATTGAACACATATTGTAGAGTTCCACAAAAAATCAATGTCTATAAATCCCCCCCTGCTTCAATGCTTGTCGAAGTGTAGACTTGATGAAACTCAAAGACGAGACTTGAAGTACTCATTCTTCCACCTTTGCGATTTTGTGCTTCAAATTTGCAGATTTGATTTGTGAGAGAAGAGATGAAGGGTAGATTTGGTCCCACTAGGCGTGCCAATATGTTTGCAACAAATTTTAAACATATGAAAAATAAATCAACCACAAGAAAAATATGAAGAAGCATGAATATTTTGTTGATAAAACAATATGTGTACAAATCTGTTTGTTCCCTTGATTCTTCTCTCATAAAATTTATCCATGATTCGAGGGTCATTAGTGACTTATTTCTTGAACTAGGATTATTTAAATTTGATCTCTTTATGAATGTTTCAAGGATTTGCGGATTATTAGAGATACCTCTTTAAGGGAATATAATACCTAATTGAAATTGGACACATCTTATAGAGTCCCAACTCGATTCGAACACATCTTGTAGAGTCCCACAAAATTTCAATATTCTATTGCAAAAGCTTCACTAAGCCTATCTTTGCAATTTAGGCTCATATTTCTCCATCGATTTATGAAATCTATAACCAATTCATCCTTCCTTTGGCGAGTATTCGTGAGTTCTACCATGCTCACTGTACTCTTTGTGCTATAGAAGTGATTGAAAAACTCGTGCTCTAATTGCTCCCAAATGTCGATAGAATTGGGATCGAGATCCGTGTACCAATAAAAGACAGTTTCCTATAGAGAGCGGACAAACTTCTCGACAAGATGGTCTCCATAAGTTCCAGCATTATTACATGTCTTCAAAAAGTGTGCAACATGTTGCTTCAAATTTCCTTTACCCTAAAACTATTGAAATTTGAGAGGTTGAAAACCGGCGAGCATTTTGAAGTTATCAATTCTTATAGTATATGGTTTGACATACATATGAGAAGATTTGGTGGAGACTTCATACTTATCTTTGATGGTCCCTTTGATGAACTCCTTCAAACGATCAAGCGGGATCATTCCTTCAGAAGAAATTGGCATCTCCTTGACAAACGGTATTTTCTTCGCAAGATTTTTAATTTGATCTCTTCAACTTCAACACCTTTTTCAGACACATTGTAACATCTCGTATCCAAAAATAGATCAGATTGCAGATTTCTGGTATTGTAGGTGGCATTCACAGGCACCATTCCTGCAGGTCCGTGGTTCGTGTCAGCAAACTCCCTCAGAACTCAGCCAGAAATTTGGCCAAGTGTTGACCCACGGCTGGATCTATGGTCCGTAGGTCAGGTCACGATCGTGGTTCGTGTCCGTGGATCGATGTCCCTAAAGCCCAGCTTCAGTCCCGGTTGACGGTTGACCAGCATGGACCGTCATTCGATGCACGGTCCGTAGGTCTGACTGTAGGTAAGGGTAGCAGTCAGTTAGATAAAAATTGTGATTGGCAACTTCAAAGAGTCATAACTCTTAGCACAAAAGAAATTGTGTGTCCCATGACCTATGATATGATAGATAATTGAATCCTCTTTCCAACGCCACCAAGTTTGCTAAAATCCGACCTCCGAGTAAAAAGTTATGCTCGTTTTAGTGAAGACCTGTCTGGAAGACTTGACCAACGACCCCAATCGACGGACCGTATATTGAATGACGGCCCGTCAGTCCCGTCCGTCAGTCACTTCGACAGCAATTAAGTCAGGGGTATTTTGGTTTTTTGTTCTTTTTCTATCTTGTTGGACCCCTAAGATACGCCGTTTAGACCCTAAATCATGAGGTTTTAGTCAGTTTAAGCCTAGAAATATAACTAGAACTTACCTTAGTCAAAATCATTAATCAAAACTTAGAAAATTAGAAGGAAGAGAGGAGAAAAAGGTCAAGAACCCTAGTTCAAGAACACATCAAGTTTCCTTCAGTTCCAGCCCGAAAATCAAAAGATTTCTTCGTGGAATTCGTCACCAGG